GCAGCAACCCTGCCTGGAGATGCCCCGAGGGAAAGTGCACGTGGAAGAGGGTGGGGGCTGCGGTGGGCGAGCTAGACGCCGGTGGGGGCTGTGAGTGGAGTGGATGGGGTCTTAACCTTTCCTGTGGGCTCCTCAGAACAAAGCTTGGGAGGCGGAGAATAAAACGCGAGGGTTACAGGGGAAACCGATGCTACAGCTCAGTTACCGCAACCGCCAACGGAATTCCTGCGACCCCTCCACACACTTCTTCATGAACGCGTTCCATCGCCAGACCTGTCCACGGGTCGCTACTGAAACAGGCTTTCTCTCTAAACGCACATCCACTCGCCCACTCCAGTGATCTGTGGCAGCGTGGCCCACCCACTGGCCCCCAGGCCCCAGCGTGACCCGCTTCCAGCCCCTCACCACCAAGCCCAGGCAGACGTGTCGTTCTCAGCGGGCAGCCTCCTCACCAGTCGGCACAGCCAGCGCCGGGCACGACCTCTGTCCCCTCTGCTGAGAGCACTCTCCCTCCCCAAAGCCTTGCCATCCCGGTGCCAGTTTGCGAAGTGACCGGCGCTTTGGGAATGTCAACTACAGAAACCAACGAGCAAAGCAAACACGGTGCAGTATGAGGCCGAGCGGGGCAGAGGGGCCTCCTAAAATCAGACAGGGAGGAGAGGACCCTGGCCTTGGAGCAGGCGCCCCGGCCTCTCTGGGCCTCCGTTTCCCCTCTTTCCCCTGTGCGTGTGGCACAGGGCATCTGAGGGAGGGACCTCTGAGGCTGTGGGTTGAGATCTGTGAGCCAGGCCGCGCCTGGCCCTGAGCTGGGCCGGGGCGTGGCCTCCGCCCTCAGCTGTCAGCCTGAGCTGGCCAGGCCCCTCGCTCCCCAGGGCGCCCCTCCTCCGCCAGCGCAGACCAGCACCGGCCCCTCCAAGGCAGGCCCAGAGCCTTCCGGGCGCTGCCCAGGGACCTTCACATCAGCCGGGCTGCTCTGTTTTTGTTTAGCGTAGACAATACATATTTTTAGACTTTGCAGGCCACATGCAGTCTCTGTTGCACATTGTTTGATTTTACAGCATATTTTTGCTTTAAAAATGCAAGACCCGTTCCACATTCACTAGCTGTATTACTAGTAAAACGGACGGCCAGCGCCTGTGGCCTGTGGCTGTCCCTTGCCACCCTCGCTTTCATGGTCCAAGGCTGCAGCCAGCGGCCGCTGGGAGCCACCATGGCCGGCGGGCAGCAGGGGTAGCTGGCAGAGGGTAGGTGTTGAGGCCAGAAGGACCTAGGATTGGTCCTGGGAGCCCCGGCCCAACCATTTTGGCAAAAAAAAAAAAAAAAAAAATGTGCTTCAGGATTTAAAAAAACACAAACTTTCCATCTCCAGGTCCCAGAAGCAGCTCTGGGTGCGGCTGCGGGCGTGTTGCTGGGCAGAGGCCACAGCCCCTTCTGGTGCCAGCTGGCGTGGGCCTGGGAGGAGGCAGTTAGCACGGAAACAGCCTGGTTCCCAGCACCGGTGTGGTTATCGCAAAGGATGGCCAGGCGCACAAGGACTTTAGTTTCCCGGAGGCAAGGTTGGGCCAGGCAGGCGGTGGCACGGTCACGACAAAGCACATCCTCAGGTTGAACCTGGATCAAAGCCATTGGTCAAAAACAGGGACCTTTGTAATACTTTCAACAATAAAGATTTATTTTTAAAAAAGCCACTGATCGGCCTGTGAGACCGACCGGTCCACAGAAGGTGGGCGAGACCCGGGGGCACCGCTGGGGACACGCTTCCCCAGGAACGCACTGTGAGGCCGAGAAGCTTCCAGAATCTGAGTCATCAGCTCAGCAGGGGGAGAGTTTAATTCTTTTCCATTATTTAATATGTTTTTTTAATTGATTTCAGAGAGGAAGGGAGAGGGAGAGAGACAGAGAAACATCAATGATGAGAGAGAAACGTTGATCGGCTGCCTCCTACACACCCCCTACTGGGGACCGAGCCCGCAACCTGGGCCTGTGCCCTGACCGGGAATGGAACCGTGACCTCCTGGCTCATGGGCCGACGCTCAACCACTGAGCCACGCCGGGTGGGCGGGAGCGTT